TAATAAACCCTGTGACCTTCTGTAGTCCTATAAAGGATACTAGTGTGTCAAGACTCCACTAGCACTGATATTTAATGCGAAATGGTTATAAATGAAGGGACCGTTTTGAAACATATTTGTTAGTGCTTGGTTTGTGATATCTATATAAAGTATTTGTAGTATATTTTGAATGGTTTTTTCTGTTTTGTTGGGTTTTTTGTATTCTGTATTGAACTTTATATCTTTTTTGTTTCTTTTGATAATGCCTTGTGCCAATGTCCACATCTGGGTGATTTCACAGTGGTATTTCCATATTTTTCTTTTTTTCTCCCAGAACTTGTTAAAGGCCTCTAGTACGGCATCTTTTGCTGCTAATGTGTTTTCTGTTATTTGTTTCGCTGTTTGGAGTAGTTTGTAGGTTATGACACCTCTAACAATATCTTTCCATTTTACTTCGTGCCATGTTTGTGTTTCGTTCTCTTGGTGTGAGGTGTGGATTTGTGTCTTTTTTCATATATCTTTTGTGTTGCTGTTTTGTTTGTTACCACTTGATCTGCTTGCACTTTCTCTTGTAAGGTGGTCAATGAGATCTTTTTTGAGTTTGTTTCCTAGTGATCTGCATTTGAAAGGATGTAATTCTGTTTCTACTTCTTTGAAGCATATTTTACATTTGTTGTTGGTATATAGTTTATCTTTGTGATTGTGAAGTCTACTCATTGTGGGCAGTTCTGATGTCTATAATTTGGTGCAAAATGTTCTGTCTCTCATGTCCTCTAAACTGGTTTCTGTTGTTGTAATTTTGGATGGATGTAATGTTAGAAAGGTTAGAGGCCAGTTTATCTCTAGTGCTTTTTGTTTGTTAAACTATCGATTTGTTCTTTGTTGTGCCCTCCATTTACTTGACTATTTAGTTTTAAGAATACTTTTGATTATGGACTTGATTGGTAGGTCTGTGTGTTCTTTATTTCATTTAGTTAGAAGGCTGTCGTCCATTATTTCTTTATAGTTGGTTTGTAGTGTGCTTCTGTTTCTTTCCTATGGCTTGATTCTTGCCAGTGCATCTGCTCTGTCGTTGCTTGGGTTTCCTGAATGTCCTTTGATCTTTGTAAGTTTCCAGTTGATGTTTTTGGTTTTGAGGATTTCGATTATGGTTTGTGTGATTGCTCTGTTGGGTGTGTTGAGGGCTTTTCTGTTTTGTGAATATCTCTCTGCATTTAAAATTTTTTCCCTTTTCTTTATATTGTTTATTGCTGCTTGACTGTTTGTGATTATTTCTATATTTGTATCTTCTTCAATTGTACTAATTGCTGTTAGGATGGCCATCAGCTCTGCTCTTGTGGACGAGGGTGTTCCTGTTGTTTTACTTGAGAATTCTGCCAGTGTGTTGTTTGTAGTGTCTTGTATTATCCAACCAATTTTCATTTCCGTTTCTTTTTCATTGGGTTGTAGTGATCCATCTATATATATTTTGAGATCTTGGTACACACTTATTTTTTTTGCTATGTGGAGGAGTTGGTTTTTAGCATCAGGATCTGTTTTGATTCTTGTATTGATTAGGTGTGTTGTGTTGGATGTTTTATCCAAGTGTATCTGTGGCATGTTTCTTTTGTATGTTGTTTTACCCGGGATTTCCTTCAGGGCTTGCTCTATTTCTCTGGGGGTGGAGCGAAGTCTGTCTTCATTTAGGCCTGTACTTTTTTCTGGGAGTGCAGCTGCAGATTTTCTGCTCTTCTGTACTGTAATGTCGACTGCTCTTGAACTGTCTATTTCCATAATACATTGTTACTGTTCTTGGTATTTTGAACTGATTTGTTGATTGTTGAGTATGCAGCCCTTATATTTGTATAGCAGTGAGTTGTTATTTTCTTGAATCATGTGGTAGTAAATTGCTGTATTCTGATTGGTTATTTTCTTCCGCTTTGCCATGATTGTGTTTTCGTTGATTGAGATTGCTATCTATTTATTTGTACATTGCTTGTTCAGGTAGTATAATGGATTGTTAGTCTTGAATATATTAGTTGAATTTTTTTTGTTTGATAGTGTTTTGAGGTTATCATAATTGTTTTTGCTGGCATTGGTACATAGAATTTTTCTGATGTCATGATACCATTTGGGGGTTCGTCCTTGTCTTCCTATTGTTCCCTTGAGCTGTTGCCATGTAAGCATTCTGGTTAAATTTGTATTGAGGAGCTGTTCTATATATAATATTTTCCTGTTCTTGAGTGCATCTCTGTTTTTGTTGTACCATTCTGGTGATGTAATGGATTCTATTGGGGTGTCGCCTCCTTTTGGTGCTATTGCCAGTGTGGAGTATTTGGTTGTGGCAAAAGTTATGCCATGGATTTTAAGTAAGTATATTATGTATTCAGTGAGATTGTTGTGTTTGTGTGGCCATTTGGAGTAGGTATTTGTGAGGATTGATTGTGTTGACCAGGTGTTGTTTTGGAGTTGTTGTAGACGGATTTGTGCTGTTTTTTCACAGGTGTCTTTGCTTTGTATTCTATTGAACCAGTTGCTTCCATGTATTAATACTTGTCTGTCCCAGATGTTGAAAAGTTTGTAGCCAAAGTCTGCATAAATTATACAGTTAGGTGTTATAATTGGAAGATTACTCTTTTGTTTGAAGGCTTTTAAAAGTTTGCTGTTGAGCTTGTCATATTCTTTTTCTGTGAGTATGGTGTCATTTAATAAGTATTCGATTGCTGGCATGAGGACTTGGTTGATAATATAATGGCATTGTTTGTCCGTTATTTTCTTCTATACTAGTAGTTTTGCTGTGGTTGTTCTTTTTTCCTGTATTATGTTTTTTTGGAACCGTTTGCTTCCTGACTCTATGATCCAGGTTCCTAGAATTCTAATTGGTGTGTTTCTTTCTTGCGGCATTACTTGGGTTCCTGACATGTTTATTCCATTTCTCCTGTCTTGGTCTGATACATTAATACATATTAGTCCAGACTTGTCCCCATTGGCTTTAATGTCATTGATTAGGAAAAATTCTGTTGCCGTTTCTAATATTTGAGACATGTTATTTTTGTTGTTGGTAAACCAGGTTGTGTCATCCATGTATGCTGATGAAGTTATCTGTATGCTGTTTTTTGTAGTAGGAATTTTGTCAAGGGTGTTGCTAATTGATAGGTCTACGTGGTATTCTGTTGACATTGTATATTCTGTACATGATTCTGTGACTTTTTGAAGAAGTGGATCATAGAAGATGCACTACAGGAGTGGTGATATTGTATCTTCTTGGTCTATGCTATCTTCCACAATGTATGGATTTGAAAGTCCATGGGCTGTTATGACTCAGTTTTCTCTGTTGGAGGGAAGGTCTTGTAGTATTTGTTTGATTTGCATTGGTACTTGTACTTTGTCTAGTGCTTTTATTAACATGTGCTGGCTGATTGAGTCGAAGACTTTGCTTATGTCCTGGCTAAATATTCACAGTTCTTTGTTGTTTTCTCTGGCATCTTTCGCTATGTTGTTTAGGATGTGTATAGGCTGTTGTGTACTAATTTCCAAGGAGGCCTGCCCAGTTGTTCTGTGATAGGAAGGCTGTTGTGTACTAATTTCCAAGGAGGCCTGCCCAGTTGTTCTGTGATAGGATTGAATGTCATGATATTGTTGATGCTAACCTTTTGTTCAATATACCTGTGAAGAGCTTTCTGATTGTTTCTAGGAGTATAATGGGATGTGTTATTGTTATGTCTCACATCCAGTCTTTGGGCTTAGGTATTGGATATATGTTCTCTTTTTTCCAATCATGGGGAATTATACCTGTGAATAGGATTTTGTTGAATATGTTTCTTATGATTTCTGTACTATGCGGACCCATGTGTTTGTAGATAATGTATGGAATATCTAAGGGTCCTGGGGTGGAAAGTGGTTTTTTACTGTTGATTTCTGTTCTGATTTCCTCTAGTGTTATTGGTATTGTATTGTTGTTGTACCATTTTGAATTGATGTGTTCTTTGGGTTTATATTGCTCTTCCCATCTTGAGAAGTTTTGTAGTGGTCTGGTATTTCTTCTTTTTGTCCATTGTTTAAAGTGGTCTCTGGTGGCATCTTTGATTTGTAGTGGGTCTGTGATGATTGAGATTATACCATCTGTTTCGTGTTGGACAAGCCTATCTGTTGTTATTGATCATTTGTGTTGGTTGAGAATACTGTTGATTATTTTTTTGGAGTCATCTTTGAGTTTTTGAAACCTTTGCTCTATATGTCTTTATATTCGCTGTGTGTTGTCTTTTTTAATTAGCTTTGTTGCCAGTCTTCTTTCTATTCTCCATATGTTGTGAATTGATGTGAGCCATTCTTTTCCTTCTTGTGGCAGTTCTGTATTGTCTTGTGGGAAGGGTGGGTTGGAGATTTGTTTTTCTTCCTCATTCAGTTTTGTTACTAGGTTGATTATATTTTGTTCAAGTTCTGTGGATCTTTCTTGTGGTTTTATAAGCTATCTTTTATATTTTCTATATATTTGTCCTGTAAGGTGTATGTTTTTGAGTATGTTGTTGTGGTGTGGTAATCTTTGATTTTGACGTCCTTTTCTGAATTTTTTTTTTTTGAGATTTCTATTGGCTACTTGTAGGATGCTTTCTTTAAGGAGACTCTATATCTTGTCTGCCTGGTAATTATTTTCAAGGGTTGCTTTTACTATGTTGGTTGATTTTGTGAATTTTTTCCATTGTCTTGCTGTTGTGTTTATAAAGTCGTATCTGGATCTGTGAAGATTTTTTGAGTTGGTTGTTCCTATGAGATTTTGGGGGGCTATTAGTTGTGCGGTTATGATCTTGTAATCACTACTGGTTACAGTGTTGGATGCGAGTATGTTGGCTTTTGTAATGCTGTTTGCTAAATTAGGTGATATCCAGATATAATCTATTCTACTTCCGTAATTGGATAAGGGCCTTGTATATATGAATCCTGCTGTGTGAGGATGGAGCTCTCTGTATGTATCGATGTAGTCGTGTGCAAGTAAGTAGGTAATAAGACTATTATCTTTTCTTGAGCATGTTGGGTTGGTGCAATCGTCATGTGGGTCAATGTTTTCATTGAAGTCACCCAAAAGGATGATATGCATGTTTTGTTTCTCTTCTTCTCTAATCTTCTTGAGTGTTTATGTGATTATTTTTGTTCTTTTTGTTTTTTCCTGGTTGTTTGCTGGTATATATATATTAATGATTCTGTACTTGTTTTTGTTTTTGAATGAGAGATCTACTAGTATTCCTCTGTTGAGAGCTGATTGTGTGTGATATACGTGTGGGTGCCATTTTTTATTGATTATAAAGCCTACTTCTGATCCATTATGGTTATGTTTGGAGTCAGGCTGGGATTGTATAATATTATATAACTTGTTTTCATCCCGTATATAGTTGTTGGGTGGTAATAATGTTTCTGTGATTTCAATAATGTCTATGTGTACTTCTTGCATATAGTTAATTAGTAGATTGAGTTTGGTTGTGTTATTTAAGCCTCGAAAGTTGTGTGTTGCTAATTTCCATGAATTTTTTTCCTCCTCTGGAGGATTGGTTTTCTCCTATTGTTCTGTCATTGAGTGAGAGTAGTTGGAGTGTTGTGCATGCTGTTTGTGGAAGGAGTGTCGGGTATGAATATGTTGATAAGTTTTTCCATTGTTTTATCCATCTTGTTGATTTTCTGATTGATTTGGGCTTGTGCTTCAATAAGGTCTGAGTTGTTGTCAATGTTAATGGTTTCAGTTGTGGTTTATTGTAAATCCTCTTCCATTTGTTCCATCTCGTCAAAGTGTCTGTTGGCTGTGTCTGTTTCTAAATCGTTGATTCTATCATCTAGAAGTTTTACTTCTTTGTATATCTCTTTGATTTCTGCTCAGATTTTTTTTAGCATTTGTAATATTTGTTGGTGGCTGTCTGATGCGTAGTTGTTTGTTTTGTTGGAGTGTTTGGCCATCTCTGCATAGCTTCTTGCTGAGCTTTTACATAAGTACAAGGGAGGGTTGAGTTGGTTTGGATATGTTGTGGTTGTATATTTTCTTGGGTAGTTTTGATTGTATTGTGTAATGTTATTGTAGTTGTATATGGGTTTTTCTAGACAGTCTCTTGATTCATGTTTATGTGAGCAACAGTGAAAGCAGAGTTTTGCTGCTCTGTCTACCCATGTGACGTCATGTCTTTTGACCTGAAAGTTTTGATTGGTTGCTTGTTTTCTATCTTCTTGGTTATAAAATGAAAGTATGGCTAGTCTTTTATAGTTACTGTTATCTTTTTTGGGAATGTAGCATGTTTGTGCCTTGACTTGTTTGATGATGTGTTCTAAATATTTTGCTGTGGTGTTTTCAGAGAGATTTGTGATCGTGACTGTATACTTGTTTCTGTTTTCTTTTGCTTCTCTTGTTCCGAAGTATGGAAAAATTCCCATGTGGTAGTTTTTGTATAAGATGGACCATTTTTGGTTAGTTCTTGATAATCGTCCATATTGTGTAGTGTAACGGTACTCGACAAACAGAAATTGGCCTGTTGGATTGTGATTTGGTCGATCGGTCTATAATTGGCTAGTGCTGTTGCTATGTCTTTTTTGATGAGATCTGTGGGAATATCCCAGATGCAAATTGTGCACGAGAGTACTTCTTTTGTATCTGTAGCTTGGACTTTCCTGAAGAAGGTGTTGCCTCCTTTTACAAGTGAAGTTGTACATGCTTGTTCTGCTTTATTATATTTTTTAAAAAGTGCTATCAAAATTTCTTCTCCTGTGTGATTCTCATATCTTGTATATTTGTATGAAGGGATTTTGGCCATTTTCTTTTTACCATATTGGAGTTTATCTGCTGAAGTGGCTCCTAGAATTTTTCCAGAGGCTACGGCAATTTTGGTTAGTCTGGTGTATTCTGTGGTGATATCATTTTTTCTTGTACTTTGTTGGTCTTTGTCTGTGGCGCTGTATTCTTGATTAACAATTTCTTTGTCTTTGTCTTTGTTTATTTTTGTGTAGAACTGCTCTGTATCTGACCCTTCGTTCATATCTGTCATTTCCTGGCTTTGGGGAGCTTTTTCCATGTCGGTGTCTTTGGTGGTTATTGCTTCTGGAATTGTTAAGAGGGGGCGTTGGGCTAAAATTTCTTTGTTGTTAAGTGTCATATTGTTGTTGATGTTGTTGGGGACTTCTTGATTATTGTATGTGTCCTTATTGTTGTTGTTATTTTCTTCGTTATTATTGTTGTTGTTGCTTATGCTTGTATTGTTGCTACTGTTGTTGTTGTTGTTGTTGTTGTTGTTGTTGTTGGTTTGGGTTGGATGTGTTGGTTTTGTTTGGGACATGTTGTCTGTTGTTGAGTATGGAGCGAAGGTAGTTGTTGGTGATATTTTCTTTTTCATTACTTTTTTGCTTGCCTTGGAGAGTTTGTTCAGATCATATTCTGGTGTCTGTTCTCTGTAGAGGCTTCTGAGGCCTCTGGAAGATGACATCTTGGATGTCTTGGACGTTTCAAAGTTTCTTTTTTCTTGAGTTACCAAAAAAGGAAATTTTTAAGGATTGGGATGGGAACGGGAAAGAGTTTTTTGAATTAAGATTTAAAATATTAATTTATAATCAAATTATATATGTATATATTATAAATTTAATTTTTCTATTTTTTTAAAAAAATATTTATTATTATTTTTTAAATTAGACCACAAATTAATTTATATTAATATAATTAATAAAAATCATAAAAAAGAAAAAACTTATAATAAAATAATTTACAATAAATAAAATAACTTAAAACCATAAATACATGTAAATAAAAATATTAATTAATGCTTTGGCCTTAATAGTAATTCGGATATCTAGTATTATAGAAAAAGAAAAAAATTTTATAATTATAAATAAAACTTTATAACTGAAATCATCAAATAAAACGATTGAATAAGTTAAAAAAAATATTATAATGCAAGAAAGATTGAAACCAATTTATTTATTAGAATAATGCATACAATTATAATATAAATTTTATATCAATATTGATATAATTTTCTAAAATGGTTAAATATAACATTATAACTATGACTATACTATAGTATTGATTTTGTACCTAGAAATTCAGATGTTATAGAAAGTATTGATTGCTTTAATAATTTGCAAATCCAAAATACATGCTTTATCAAAAGAATAATTAATATACTGTTAAATAGTAAATGTATTTGTTAACATTTAATAGATAATAATAAAGCTTTGGAAAACCAATCTTAATAGATTTCATCAATAAATACAAAATAGTTATCAATTTAATCTTTTAACTTTAATAGTTCATTTTAATGTGCAAGAGATAATCGACGAAATTAAAACCAGTTCAATGACCCAATTTCTCAAGAGCTTTATTTGTCATATTTATAAAAAAGAATTCCAATCAGGGATAAAACATTTTTAGATCATTTATAAACAATACTAACCTAAAAAATGAAATTATTAAGAAGTAAAAATTTTAATTTTATATTTAAAAATTGTGATTGCAATTTTTATGTTCAAATTTTATAAAGCAAAAAACAATTTTAATTATATTTTAATATTGGTTTGTGTTTAATACAAATATTATTAATAAACATAACATTGTTTTTTTTAAAGAATTACTGTAATTTATTAAATATTATAAATATCAATAAAAAAATCGATTGGTACTATTTTTTTGTTTCATACAATATGTTTCTGAAATACTTTCGACTTCATCAACCCTCACTTTAATTATATTCTGAATTTTGCTGTATAATTAGGAATTAACTTTCATATTACCAATTTTTATAAACTTGTTATTGTTGGAGCTGAAAATGGACGAGTCTGTCGCTCGGGACAAAGACTCGCGTTTCTTTAGGTGGGTTGAGGCATGTGTAAATGATTTGGCCAAGGGTTTCTTCATTAATAAGCCCTTCTCTTCTTTCCCAGCACTAGTTCTTTCTTGATAAGTCAGGCCACGCCTTTCCTTCTGACAGCAATTATCCTTTCTCCAGACGGTACGTACTCGAAAGGTAAGTTATTATAATTAAAATATTCTTTTTATGGTAATCAAACACTTTCTTTATTAATTAATTGCAATTCTCTCTCTGAGCTTTCTCGTTGCCACTTCTTTCTATTTTTATATTGGAAATACAAGATATTACAAAGGGAAAATAGACTATCGGGGCCAAAATAGACTCTAAGGTAAGGGCTAACATTATGCTGATCTTAAGTCACGTAACTTAATTCATTCCTTTTTTTTTTTTTGGCTGACATAAAAAAGCGCATAGTTAGTCAAGAAACATATTAGAAACGAAAGAAGCGTCAAGTTATAAAAAATATCTTTGTGATATCAACTGATACATTTATATTGTCGTCGTCACCGGAAAGCCGGTCGTTACCCGGACTACTCAATAATCTAGAAAATTAAATTAGGAGACTGATAAAGGTAGGGCTTTGACTTTGAGGCGGATTACTATTTGGTCAAACTTTTCACACTTGCTTATTTCCTAGTGACTACTCCTCTAGTCGTCCTTGAGATTATTAGCGTTCTATACACGTGATAAAGTAGCCATTGATCTTTAGTTATAAGAGTCTATGTCCGACATGCAAATTTCTAAATTTGAGTTTAAAGTTTATCGGGGTATAAATTGATTTCTAATTAAACTAACGAACTAACTAACTACTTTTCTAAAACTATGAGTGCTACTTCTATTTACAGTATATGCTTTTGACTCGAGGCATGACGATTATTATCACGAGGATTTTTGTATGTGCAACAAAATAGTATTACAATATATGATGAAAACATACGTGTATATCTGTTTAGTGTTTTCTTTCTTCGCTGCCCGACATTGTTCAGACTCTTTCGTATCCGTTCCCACCTACCACTCCCGAAAGCAAGGGAAATAGTGATGCACGATATTTTTGCATGGGTCTTAGGTATGTAAGCAGGGATATTGACTCATTGCACATTTATTATTTGTGAGGGCAAGGGTTGAAATAACAGGGTGCGTTACATCTTCACATGAACCACCTGAATAAATTTGAGAAAAATAGATAAGTACTGTATAAATGCGCTACACCGATGCGTGGATCATTATTGGAATGAGATCCCTGCACTGCACCATTGCATGAGCCAGCATTGAAGTATGTGACAAGACAGAAGTATGAGAGTTTACTTCGCCAGATAATTATACAATTAAAAAAATAAAAATAAAAACTCCGATCCTCTGATTTTTTCTTCGTCAAAAAGAAAGAACTATATTAAATTAACAGGTATATGGGGATGTTAGGAATGGTTAAGTGAAAGATGAGAAATTCTGTAATTTTAGGAAATTTAGAATATGTACGGTACAGAAGGTAGCATAGCAGAGGACTACTCCCATATTGTTTCTTCATGTAAAAATACTATTATAATAAAGATCTGAGTGAGATAATGGGCACACCTTTTTACTCTCTTTTACTATCCATCCATTGTCCTAATTTCTCATCATTGTTACGCGACTTTGCGTACTACCATTTGTTTTGACTACGCTGATTGGAATGAATTCGCCTTAAAAACTTTTGTTATTGCATCTTTTTATGTTTATCCGGGATAATTATCGGTCACGTGCGATCAAAGGCAAGAGCCTTAAAGATTTATCTCCTGAGATGGGTTTTATTTGGCCAATACCGACACTTGATAAACTCCTTCTGAACTTTATGTTTGATAAAAATCTCAATATTCGAGCCAAGCACCAATTCTTCTTCTTAGTCCCATAATTAAGTTACAAGTATGCAGTACACTCGTGAAACGCGGTAAAGAGTTATGCACAACTTGACATTATGTCATAGTGTAAGGTGTGTACGATATGGTCAAGAACTTTTTACTTAACATAACTTATTTAGATTTTGCTTGTGCTTTTACATAAGAAACTTGCGTTCTGATTACATAATCTCTACTTTTTATTATTTCTATTATTTAAATAATAATTATGTAGAATAGTAGTGTTGTGGGTTACATAGATCGCGTACACGAAATGTGACGCTTCGCGTAAAAATAACCGAAAAAAGGTAAGAATAATGTAATATTTGGTCATAGCATAACGCATCCACAGAGTATAAATATGATAGCTTTTAATAGTCTTGAAAAAAAAGAAAAGAAAAGAGATTTGTGGAACTCTTCGCCATTTTGTCTCGCTCTTTGAATAAATGTCATTTTATCTTGCATAATAAAATGTGTCCTATAAATCATGATCCGTCAATAATTTGAGATAAACACTGCCACAATGGGTAAAAATTTTAAAAAGGAACCGACATTACCACTTGCTTCGTGTAGGGAGAGACACTTGTAATCTTGAGACGCGCCTAGAAGGGACAGATCAGCAAGTACGTCGTAAGACCGGTCAAATTGCAATCCGCCTCAGAGTGCCAAAATCCGGGCGTTCGGATTATTGTTACGCGAAGAGTAGCGAATGACTCGCTGGTGACGACAACAGTAGGACAGAATTTTCAAAAAGTTGCGTTTCAAAAATAACCACGTATTATTTCAGTTTTTAAACACTGATTTACAAATCGCAGTAATAATAAAGTGTCACAGACGATGTCATTAATAGGCTTGGTTTTGACTAAGGCGAACAAGACTTTTTATCATACTATACTTGATTCTTAACATTTTTTGGATTTTTTAATACATATTATTCGATAAATACTTCAGAACATAAAGAAGATTTTAGAAACAAAAAAAAACAAAAAAAACAAAAAGAAATAACAAGAAATAATATAATAAACGTCATTATCAAAAAAAGAATGCCCTGTTACATAATCCATTCCTCCATCTTTCCCATCTAGGCAAGGAAGGAAGAATCGCAAATTTATTATCCATCAGCACGAGACTATCGCACGTTCTGATCACCCCTATTTTCTTCTTAAGATTAGCTAAAGATCACAATTTACGTTGTATATATTGAATTATTTGTAGAACCTAAAATTAAATTTTAATGCAAATTGATATTTCGATTTCATGTTAATAACTCTTTAACTTGTAAACTATATGGTTGAATTTCCTAACTGACGATTTGAATTTTCGTTTTTACAAACAATTATTACAGTATCTCTTTTTGAATTTTATTACATAATCTTTCCTAACCTTGTTTATTACCATTTTGTTGCTTCCTTGAATGTCTTTACTCGCGTAATGCTTGGGTAGGTCATTCCATTTCTACTTAGTGCATGTTATTCGGCCGATGCTTGTATTTACTGTTTTTCTTTGAACGCTTTATTATTTTATTTTTCGCCTTTACACCTTATATTGATCATTACATAAAATTTAATTTTTAATTGTGATAACAATAGTAATGTTTCAATGTGACCCAAATTGTGCAATGCAATTTTCTATCGCGTCATTTAACCGCTTTCTATACTCTTTCATAGTTTTTAGATCAGGAACCTTTATTCTTCACATGACCCATATCACTGCAATATTTTTACATGCGGCAAACAGCGAATATTTTGCATTTTTAGTAGGGCTCAATATAAAAACTGTAGAAACATGCGATTGTCAATTTTTACAATTTTTGTTGTGATAATTATATATGTATATACAGTACATATATTATTAAGTTCGCCAATTTATATTTTTTAAAATAAAATTTCGATTTCTTGAATTTTAATACGGAATTGTCGTAATTAAGAAAATCAAGATACAGTAATCCATACTGTATTATAAATATAACACATACTCATCTGATGAATTTTGACCGAGATAGATTAATTCAACGCCCATTGAGCCTTTTTTGCTAAAGGTATTTTTAAAGGGTGCTCGGTTCGGTTCGGTTCGGTTTGTTTTTTCTTCTTTTTTGATATAAGTTTAACCAAATTAGGAACAGGCCAATGAAGTTAAATGTTACATTCAATGTTAGATGAATAAATATAATATGCATGCATTGTGACAGACTAACCGGGTGGGTTAGTCACCAGCACCGACCAGATTTCGCGTAACATGTGATTAAAAGAAAGCAAATAAAAGCAATGAGAGACATGAATAGCTTCTAATGCACTGTGCGAAAGGTACAAGTATTTTATTCAAGTTTTTTCTTCTCTGAAATTTTTGCACAAAATATAATGTGAAGTGAAGATAAAATCAAAAATAAGTACTAATATGTTCTACTTTTTTCCATCTCGCATATCTTCTTTTCTCTTATCTTACACCCTTCGGTGTCATGCGGAATTGATCATCGGCACGTTACTACTGTACATACATATTTCCTTTTTCATAGACATTATACCAAGTTGCCAAAAAAGTAAAGACAATGGTGGCTGGCATTGTTGCATAAATTTCCCTTTCTTATTGATGGCTTCTTTTTATAGTAAAACTGTATTCGAATAAAACAACAAATAATGCTCATTGTTGCACTATATATTACATTTGTGGATTCTAAATTTGCTGCCAATGCATTGAATTCTCGGCCGAATTCGTTATCACTTGTTACTATCTCATTATCTCGTAGGACAACATTTTTTATTTCTAGAATATGAATTGCGTTATCCTAAAACTTTAGAAGATTCTATATTTTTACAGTTAAATAAGTAAAAATTGTAACGAATACAAACAACCAAAAGTAAGTCTCGTGGCATCAAGATAATGCATGAAAAGGGATTTTATTATTGGGTTTTTTTTTACTACATATATCGATCACTCATAATGCATTGCATGAAATACATTAGACTCTTGACTATTCATATTTACAGCACCAACTATTTTCCTGTCGTAATCTCACTTATACTTACTATTAAATAGTATTCACTAAAATTTACCTTATTGAAATGGCTAAAGACAGTCTTTGAAAAATATCTTGGTTTTCAAAATTTATTTGCAATGGCACGAACGGAGTTATTGAAAGTAAACGTAATCAGATAATCGGCGCCCGAAAGTCCATTTCTTCAGTGTCCACAATCGTGAAGAAATTAAATATAGCCAAATCGACAATATGTAATGCAATCAACTATTACAAATAGACTGGCGAAACCAAGCCTTCTGCATGAAGTGGAGTGGAAAGCTATTTATACTAATAGCTCATTCATGATACATATCACCTATTACATGTTGTTGAAAAAAATTGAAAGCTACATCAAGTGTTATGCAAAGTGAATTTATTCAATCTAAATTAGGTGTTATGCAAATTGAATTTATTCAATCTACATTAACCAAGGTTTATATACATACTTTAGAACAATACCTTCATAAGAAAGGTTTTTTTACTCAAGTTGGTAAAAGAAAAAATTTATTAATAAAAAAAATCAAAATCTTTTGTAATAAATGAACTATAAAATAATTAAATTGGACTTTCAAGTAAGAGTTTGTTATCTGAAGTTATAAGTGATATATAGTATTACTGGTTACATAATGTAATTTTTCACATCATGTAACTATACCTTGATGAATGGGCATGAAGTTAATTAGAATTCAATTTCACAAGCTTTGATTATTCCAATGGCTAGATGTAAATGAAGAAAAAATTAAATATGCAAAAACAAGAATAAAATAAATAAATAAATAATCATTTAAAATTATAATTTAAAAAATTGGTAATAGGTTTTTATTTCAAAAAATAAGTTAACAAGTATTAATATAAATTGATTTGAAATATATTTTAAAATTAAGTTTCAAATTACATTATATATCTTAATATATAATATATACAATTATTTATAAATTTATAATAAACTTATTAATTGTATTAATATTAATATATTGTATATTTTAATTAAAATAATTTCAAATATTTATATTATATACTATAAAATTAAATATTAAAAATTTTTAATTAATATATATATATTGATTTCACCATTTTAAAAAATTTGAAAAATCTATCAGTTTTAAATATTAAAAAAAAACTTAAGTTCATTTTTTTTTATGCTTTTAATTTTTTTTGAATTTTTTTTAATAAGTCTTGCTTATTTGTTATTTTTTTTTTGTTTTTTAATTTTGTTTATTAAATTATAATTTTTTTTCTAATAATTTTTTTCTTAATCAGACTGAAATTATCTATTTATTAAAATATAATGAATTCTATAAAAGAATTACATATATTTATTTATATTTAATCTAATTTATTTATTCATAACATTAGTTTAAAGTTCTAATAATATTAAAGTAGTTTAACTTATAATAAATTTAATATTTAAATTGTAACTAAAGATTCAATGAGTTGATTCAATTCAATTCTCAATTCTCAAGTTTATATTAAATTTAATATATGGTTATAATTATAGTTTCAAAAATTGGAATCAAATAGACTTATATATACTTACATAAGGTTCAAAACATTATTAAAAACAATGGTGGATTATAACTCACATAATAAATTTAATATAAACCTGGAAATTGAGAATTAAATTAAATTAAATTATTGAAATCCTTAATTATAATTCATTATCATTTTTAATAATGTACTGAATGTTATATAAATTTATACAAATTCATTAAATTTCAATTTTCAGAATCATAATTGTAACTTATTATATTAAACCTATAATAAATTCAATATTAACTTAATATCAAAATTATAATATTAAAAATATTAATTAAGCTTCTAAATATAAAACATAGAAAAAATATATTGCTTATTTATTAATTAAAATTTAATAAGACTTTTAACAATACTACTTCAATACTTTTTTAATAATAATAGGATATTTAAATTTATTATAAATTTTTATAAATAGGTTATAATTTATAAATTAGATTTACTATAAATCAGTACTATTACAATATCATTTATGATAATAACATGTTTACTAGTAAAAAAATTCCAAATTTAGCAGTTATATTATTGTTTTAAATAGATATTGACTATTTGATATTTTTAATATATAGATATTTACTAAATAACAATTTATATTTAGTTATAAAGTTGCTATATATTATAATTAATTTACTGTTTATATAAATATTATTAATATAATAATAACAAACAATTATTTAATAAAGATTTCATATTTAATACTTATTTATGATAAAAAAGATACAAATAATAAATTTTTGTATAACTATTATAATTCAAATATGCATATAGAATTATATCCTAATGTATTTAATAAAAATACCAATTAATTTATATTAATATAAATATGCAATGTATATTGTATCAAAAAATATATGATACAATAATCAAAAGCAATGTATTTTAATTAAAATTTTGATTATTATTATTATAAAACAATATTAATTATTTATACAAGTCAATAATGAAATTACACATATGCAGTATATATACAGTATATGGTAAATAATATAATAGCGTATTTCAATTGATTATTTCTATTCAGGTTAATATTAATTTAATTGAAATAATATGAAAACTGTATATTATTTTTTTTAATATATATATAATAATTTTTATTTATATCCACATGGATTTATCTATTTTAAAATCAAGAAATAACAATAAATCTTAGATTATATTACAATAAAAACAATAAAAAACAATAAAAACTAAATCAATTAATATTATCTTGCTTATGACAATATGAAGATTGCTATCATATTTATAATATGATAGGACAATAATTTCAAAATATTTTATAAATAAAATAAGATATGATAAAAAAGATCGATCAAATTCACATTTTATTGATTATCATAGAAATTAACTTTAAAAATTTTTATTTAATGTTAGGATAGATAATTGATTTTTAAAATAGCAAATTTAATGTTAATGGCTAATTAACAAATCGATTTTTTTATAGATTAACTAAATTTCTATAATCATGCTTGAGTAATAATTTTTTAAAACTAAACTATTATCAGTAATAATAAATTACCACAACATTTTGATAAAAATATTGCTTATATAAATATTTATTAACTCAATTTGAAGTTGGTTATATTTTAAATTTGAATTTCTTTCTAAATGGTAGAAACGATCGTCATAGTCAGAAGCAATGATAAAGTGCATACATAAAACAAATTACAGTATACCAGAGTTTTCGGAAATGTTGTATAGAATGGGACAAAATGTAAACAGACATAAAAAAGTTCACAGGAAGTATAATACATACACATAAATGATATAAAATATTTTTTTTAAAAAAAAATAAGATGAAAAGAGTTTATAAAATAGTGACAAGAACAAGATACGGTATAACGAAAGGACCGAAATACAAAAACAAAATAAGCAGGTGCACAGGAAATGTATCCTAATATATAAGTCCAACTAAATTGGTTTTTCTATATTATACATCTTTATTTAATAATTATTTGCTAAGTTAGTATTGAAAAAACAATGGTTGTTTGACTGATATAAATATAATCCTATCTACAATATTTTTATGTTGGGAAATTCAGTAGCTTCACTGTATCGCTACCCCAATTTTGAATAGTTATGTAACTAGTTCCTCTTTTTTTTTGAATTTACATAGATATTATAATATTATCTTTATAAGTAGCCCGTCTGGATTTTCATTATTAACACGAGACAGATATTTACTCGCGCATTTATCTCTCTATTGGGGCAATTCCTCCATTGTTGTTATTTCTATTATCTTCAGTAGTAGGCCCGTTTGTATTTACTTCAATTCTCCTCCTTTCTGTAGCCGGGTTTTCATTTCCGCTATCTCTCCTTCCTTCTGTATTCGAGGTTCCCTTTTCGCAATCTTCTTTTATTTCTATATTCTTTGCGGGTCTTTTTTTCGAAGATATCACCCAGACGACGTAGGTGCTCCATATTTGTGTCCAAACGAGGATTAATCCCACTATCGGGAAAATAATGTTCCACGCCTTATCGAACGACGTGTTTTCTGATAAATAAATGAATAGAATATACTGTAAATATAAATAGAATACAGTATAAATGACACTCCTTAATTATTTACAAAGTTTACGCACTATAGTTTCCGATCATATCTCTCTTCCACATAAAATAACACCATGCGAGTGTTCCAAGTTTTGAAAATAATACTTGAAAGGTGGAAAATCGAAGAATAATTTTTGCCCAATTTGGTTTTATCCTGTAAAAAAGGAGACCAACAAATGTTGCCTGCTCTGTCGTAGCCTGGAATAACAATGCAATACCTTCTGCCGAGACATCTAATTTCTCACTGAAATATTAGAATGAGAAATTAGCAGAGGTTAAATGAAAATAAATATTGGTACTGTTACTTACGTTTGATTTAAAACATAGTAGCCGAGAAGCGTGATTCCAATTGTTGCAAAATGATGAATGATCAACGGGATCCGCATTATTGGACGATATATTAGCTCAAAGATATATCTATTAACAAAAAACAAGGATTTAATACAAATCTCTTAATAGAGACAGGTAAAATTGTATCTATAAGATTGCATACAGATCCATGATAATTAACGTAGCTAGCTGTAGAAGTTTGTAGTCTCTGTATGTCCAGTCCTTCCCGTAAAGCCGATGTATCATTATTAGAATAATGAGGCCGGCGGTGGTGAAGATGATCTCCAGCACGTATGACACGCAATTCTTCATGTGTGTATTACTAATGTTCGGGTCGATCCGTTTCAGCATGATTTCGAGGAACTTCGCCATTATGTAAAAAATAAGAAATAAAATTACATGGTTTATTGTAAAAAAATAAACTGTAATTTGGCGGACTATAATGAACAATGCATATAATATTAGTCGATATTTAGTTGATTCAGGTGTTTGATTCAACCTCAATTACCTTTGTCTTCGCCAATCTGCTCTAACTCGTGAAGTTCTTGAAGTTGTTCTGGTGAAAGTGAGGAGGCCATTTTCAATTTTTCTTTTATCAAGCTCACCGATTTTTGGAGTTAGGCAGTTCTTCTTATCCCAACCTCCTTTTTATATATCTCTCTCAATTACTTGTATTACAGATTCTCTGTTAAATCCTAACCATTCTTGGATTTACAAAGAAATTCGAACAGATGGGTATTTGGAACGCCAGATGAGGAAAAATAACTACGGATTAGATAGATATTAAAAATGTTCAAAAAAAATCTCATAGTAAATACAGTAGAATTGTTTAAAATATATTATATCGATGAATTTTCGTTCCCTCCGACGAATCCAAGACGTGTATCTTTTCAAATAAATATAGAATTAAAATAATTTAATAATGTAATAATAATTATTATTTTTATTTTATTATTTTTATTTTATTATTATTATTATTATTATTATTATTATTATTATTATTATTATTATTATTATTATTATTATTATTATTATTA